CTTTCCCAACCTAGAGAAGGACATGCCTGTGAAAGTACAAGATCTTACAGAACACCAAATAGACTGGATCAAAAAATAACTCCCCTCACCACATAATATTAAAAACAATAAACATTCAGAATAAAGAAAAAATATTAACAGCTGCAAAGGAGAAAGACTAGGTAACATTTAAAGGAAGACCTGTCAGAATTACATCTTTCTTTTCAATGGAAACAAAGCCAGAAAGTCCTGGAGAGATGTTATGCAGAAACTGAGGGACCATGGATGCCAGCCCAGACTACTATACCCAGCAAAGATTTCAATCACTATTGATGGAGAAAACAAAATGTTCTTTGATAAAACCAGATTTAAACAATATCTATCAACAAACAAGGCCCTACAGGAAATACTAGAAGGAAAATGCCAACCCAAGGAAGTCAGCTACAGCCACAAGAACACAGGCAATAGATGAGCTTACAGCAGTGAATCCCAAAGAAGGGAACTGAACATACAATGCCATCACCAACATTAAAAACAAAACTAACAGGAGCTAGCAATCACTGGTCATTAATATCCCTTAGTATAAATGGTCCCAACTCACCTCTAAAAAGACACAGTGGATACAAAAACAGAATCCATCCTTTTTCTACATACAAGAAACACCTCAACCTTACAGACAGACATTATCTCAGAGCAAAGGGTTGAAAAAATTTCCAATCAAATGGACCTAAGAAACAAGCTGGTATAGCTGTCCTAGTACCTAATAAAATAGACTTCAAACTAAAATCAATCAAAAAAGATAGAGAAGTGCGTTTTATATTCTTTACAGGAAAAATCAATCAAGAGGAAATCTCAATTCTAAACATCCATATTCCAAACACAAAGGCTCCCACATTTGTAAGAGAAACATTGCTAATACTTGAATTGCAAATTAAGCCCCACACACTAATAGTGGGAGACTTCAACACCCTGTTCTCACCACTGGACAGATTTGCCAGAAAGAAGCTTTTAACAGAGAAATAAGGGAACTAACAGATGTTATGACTCAAACTGGCTCTATAGACATCTGTAGAACATTCCACCCAAACACAAAAGAGCATACTTTCTTCTCTGCACCTCGTGGAACCTTCTAAAAAGTCGACCACATACTCAGTAACAAAGCAAACCTCAACAGACACACACACACACACAAAATTTGAATAACCCCATATAGCCTATCAGATTAAGTTAGAATCCAACAGCAACTGAAGTAGATGGCAAGAAATAGTCAATTTTAGGGCTGAAGTCATTAAACTAGAAATAAAGAAAGCAATACAAAGAATCCATGAGAAAAAGATCTGGTTGTTTGAGAAATTCAACAAAATAGACAAACCTTTATCCAAACTAACCAGAAGTCAGAGAGATAAATCCAAATTAACAAAATCAGAAATGAAAAGAGGGACATAACAGAGGAAATTCAGAGAATCATCAGGTCATACTACAAAAACCTATACTCCCCAAAATTGGGAAACTTCAAGGAGATGGCTATTTTTTTAGATAAGTGCCACATACCCAAATTAAATCAAGAACAAATAAACAACTTAAAATCACCCACAATTCCTAAGGAAACAGAAACAATAATCAATATTCCTCCAACCTTCCCCCCCACCAAAAAAGCCCAGGCCCAAATATGTTTGAGTGCTGAATTCTACCAGATATTCAAAGAAGAACTAATACCAATACTCAAATTATTCCACAAATAGAAGGAACATTGTCAAACTCTTTTTATGAGGCTACAGTTATCCTGATTTCCAAACCACACAAAGACACAACTAAGAAAGAATTACAGACCAATTTCCCTCATGAATATATGTAAAAATAATCAAATACTAGCAAACTGTATCCAAGAACACATCATAAAAACCATCTGCCATCATCTATTAGGATTCCTCCCAGAGATGTAGGGATGGTTCAACAGGCGAAAATCTGTCAATGTGATCCGCCGTATAAACAAACTGAAAGAAAAAGAAAACCACACGATCATCTCATTAGATGCTGAAAAACACCCCTTCATGATAAAGACCTCAGAGAGAATAGGGATACAAGGAACATACCTAAACGTAATTTAAGCAATATACAGTAACCCAATAGACAACATCAAATATAATGGAGAGAAACTCAAAGCAATCCCACTGAAATCAGGATCAAGTTAAGGCTGTCCACTGCATATATGTATTCAATATAGTACTTGAAGTTCTAACTAGAGCAATACAACAACAAAATGACTTCAAGGGGATACAAATTGGAAAAGAAGTCAAACTGTCTTTATTTGTTGATAAGATAGTTTGCCTTTCTATATACAGATGATAATAGGGCTGAGAAAGAAATCAGAGAAACATCACTCTTTACAATTGCTACAAATAACATAAAAATTCTTAGGGTAACGCTAACCAAATAAGTGAAAGACCTGTATGAGAAGAACTTAAAGTCTTTAAAGAAAGAAATTAAAGAAGATACCAGAAAATGGAAAGATCTCCCAAGCTCTTGGATAGGTAGGATCAACATAGTAAAAATGGCAATCTTACCAAAAGTAATCTACTGATTCAGTACAATCCACATCAAAATCCCAGCACAATTCTTCACAGACCTGGAATAATTCTTAAATTCATATGGAAAAATAAAAAAACAAACAAGATACATAAGCCACCCTGTGCAATAAAAGATGATCTGGGGTCATCATCATCCCTGACTTCAAGCTCTACTACAGAGCTATAGCAATGAAAACAGCTTGGTATTTGTATAAAAACAGACAGGTAGAACAATGGAATTGAATCAAAGACCCTGATATTAACCCACAAACCTACGAATACCTACTTTTTGAGAAAGAAGCTATAAAGTGGAGAAAAGGCATATTCTACAAATGGTGCTGGTGTAACTAGCTGTCACCATTTAGAAGAATGCAACTAGATCCATATCTATTGCCATGCACAAAACTCAAGTCCAAATGGACTAAAGACCTCAATATAAACCCATCCACACTGAACCTCATAGAAGAGGAAGTGGGAAATATCCTTGAATGCATTGGCACAGGAGACCACTACCTAAATATAACTCCAGTAGCACAGACTCTGAGAGCAAAACTTAATAAATGGGACTTTGTGAATGTAGATTTTGTAAAGCAAAACACATGTTTAACAAGACAAAATGGCTCCCTACAGAATGGGAAAAATTCTTCACTAACCTCACATCTGACAGAGGGCTGATATCCAAAATATACACAGAACTCAAGATACTACACATAAAACCACTGGATAATCCAATTAAAAAATTGGGTACAGATGCAAACAGAGAATTCTCAACAGAACAATCTGAAATGGCAGCTAGACACTTAAGGAAATGCTCAGTATCCTTGGTCATCAGGGAAATGCAAATCAAAACAACTATGAGATTCCATCTAACACAGATCAGAATGGCTAGGATCAAAAACAGCAATGACAAATTATGCTGGAGAGGATGTGGAGAAAGGGGAACACTCCTCCATTGCTCGTGGGGTGCTAACATGTACAGCCACTGTGGAAATCAGTATGGCGATTTCTAAGAAAATTAGGAATCAACCTACCTCACAACCCTGCAATACCACTCTTGGGCATATACCCAGAGGAGGCACACTCACATCACAAGGACATCTGCTCAATTATGTTTATAGCAACATTATTCATAATAGCCAGAACCTTGGAAACAGCCTAGATTCCCCTCAACAAAAGAATGGAATAAAAAAAAAAATGTGGTATATTTACACAGTGGAGTACTACTCAGTGGTAAGAAACAATAACATCCTAAAATTTGCAGGCAAATGGACAGAACTAGAAAAAAAATCCTGAGTTAGGTAACCCAGACCCACAAAGACAAATATAGTATGTACTCACTCATAAGGGGATACCAGACATAAAGCAACAGACACCCAGTCTACAGTCCACAACCCCTTCCAGAATCTTCTTCCAGAAGCAGATGCAGAAATCCACAACTAATCATTAGGCTGAGCTCCTGGAGTATAATCAAAGTGAGGGAGAAGCGATAATATGAACAAAGGAGTCAGGACCGTGATAGGGAAACCCACAGAATCAGCTGACCTGAGCTAGTGAGTGATCAACTGACTCTGGTCTGACAAATGGGGAACCTCCATAAGACTGAACTAGACTCCCTTAATATAGGTGACAATGGTGTGACTGGGACAATGTATGAGGCCATTGGCAGTGGGCCCAAGATCTAACTCTAATGCACAAACTGATTTAATGGATCCCATCCCATATGGAAAGATACCTTGCTCAACCTAGACACAGGGTGGGGGGGGAGTGCCTTGGTCCTGCCTCAAAGAGACGATGGGACAGACTTAGTGGATTTTCTAGGGGAGGCCTCACCCTCTTCCTAGGAGTTGAGGAGGGGAAGGGAGGTGGGAGGTGGGGAGGGTGGGGAGAGAAGGAAGAGAGAAGTGAGGGGGACTGGGATGTAAAAAATAAATTTAAAAAAATATATAATGTTTTTAAAAAAAGATAGAATATAGGGTATAGGGAGATGGCTCAGTGGTTAAGAGCCCTTCCTGCAGAGGATGCTGGTTCAGTTCCTAGCACCCACACTGGCTCCTCACAACTACATGTAACTCTAGGATCGGAAGAACACTTCTGGCCTGTGTGGGCACACGCACCAATGAAAAATAAAAGTTTTACAAATTTACAAATGCAGTAAAATAGATTTTGCCTTTGGAAGTTTGAGCCATTATCTTACTTCACTTTTTGATTTCTCTTGAATGTGAACAGTAAAGTCACAGGTAAGCCACTAATTAGTTTTGTTTTGTTTTTCAGGGCAGAATTTCACTGTGAAGCCCTGGCTGTTCTGGAACTCACTCTGTAGACCAGGACTCACAGAGATCTGCCTGTCTCTGCCTCCTGAGTGCTGGGATTAAAGGCGTGTGCCACCACCGCCTGGCCACTATTTAGTTCTTTAGCCCCCATAGCCCATCTATGTACTGTGTTATTATCACTTACCCATTAGCTCTTGCTGTACCAGCAAACTAATTCTTCTCTGGTTCATTCGGTTCAAGATTTCATGAGCCACACCCCAAGCTCGTACTCCAGGAAGGGAATCTATTAACAGATGAACCACCTCTGCCCAGCTGGCGCTGTCCACCTCCTCCCAGGTGATGCTGACAGAGTAGGGCAGGAAGTAGCAATTTATCAATATCCTCTTGAAGATTTGTAGCTCTCCATGGCTTAAGTAGCTCATGTACCTCATGATGGGAACACCATATTGGCAGTCAGCGGAGTGAGGGCGTGCCCAAGTTTGGATGGGAGATCTTTGACTCCCTTCACTCATTCTCATGCAAGATGAACAACAGCTGTCAGCGATTAGGTACAACTGAACAGGAGAGAATAAACAAGACCTGTGGAGACACTGCATGATCAGCGCTAGGGTCTTGACCATCCTAAAGTCATTATAACTTTAACATTTCACAAGATTTCCACAATAGTTTTTCATTCGTTTCCTTCCTTCCTTCCTTCCTTCCTTCCTTCCTTCCTTCCTTCCTTTTTGAGTCAGGGATTCTTTGTTAGTCTTGGCTGTTCTGGAACTAGCTCTGCAGAACAGGCTGGCCACAGACTCACAGAGATCCACCTGCCTCTGCCTCCTGAGTGCTGGGACTATTGGCATGCTCCACCACTGCCCAGTGTGTCTTCATTCGTTTTAAGTTTCACTTTGTTTCTCATGCTACAAGTGGATACCAAGGCCTTGCACATGCTAGCCAAGCCCTCCACTGTGCTATATCCCAATTTAAAAAGTATTTATTGTGGTTTTATGTTTCTGCTTGCATGTATGTGTGCCATGCCTGTGAAATGCCTAAAGAAGCCACAGTAGAGTCCATGGAACTGCACATACAGGCAGTTATGAACAGCCATGTAGGTGCAATGAACCGAACCCACGTCCTCTGCAAGGGCTGCAAGCATTCTTAAGTGCTGAGTCATCTCTACGGGTCCTAATCCTTTATTCTTAATTGTATGAAGAATGCTACTATTTTTTTTCAGCAAATACATTTATTTTGTTTACTTTTACAGTATAAGTATACATACTCATTGTATATAATCATGAATTTCTTTCTTTCTTTTTTATAATCATGAATTTCATTAGGACTTTTTGGATGGATTTCTCACATACAGTAACCTTTCCAGCTCCTTTATTACCATCTCATTCTTCTACATTCTTCCCAAATAATCTCCCTTTTGCTTTCACATGTGAAGTAGGTTTCATTTTCATTACTATTTTTTATTTGGCACACAAAATGAGTTTCATCATGACCTTCACATATGTGTACATCGTTGTTCTTAGCCCCTATTCAGCCAAACTCCTGCTCTTGTCCCCCAACAGTTTCCCAACTGTTTACTTCCTTCCCTCCAGTAACCTTCCTGCTTTAAGGTCATATACATATCTTGCTAGAGGCTTTTCCCATGAAGCTCTGGGTGGCCTTGAATTCATAACAATCCTCCTGCCCCAGTCTCCACAATGCTGAGACTATAGAGACATACCACCATGCCTGACATCATACATACCTTTAAATCTAGGTCCACACGTGAGAGGAAATGTGTACTCTTTGTGGAGTTTTTATGTCTTCCATTACCTTCTCCTGTTACATCATCCTCCATAATAGTCCCCTTCTCCTGTCATGCTAACTATGCTATGTGTTCTTCTTCATCTATCTACCCTCCTTTTTATCCATCTCGCATCTATCACCAACCATCCATAACCTACCATCTACATATCTACCATCTATCTCTATCATTTCTTTCTATCATCTGTTACGTATCCATCCATTTTCTGTAATCTATTGTCTGACATCTTCATCTAGCATTCATCTATTAAGTGTATCTATCCATCGTCTATTACCTACCTACCTATCATCAGCAATACGTTTAGAAAGAACATGTCACCTACCTATCCATTATCTATTTATTTATAATCTATCATTTACATATCTACTTATCACCCATCCGTTAGCTATATATCTATCTACCCACTTATTTCTCTATTTACTAATAATATATATCTGTCATCTGTTTCTATCATTTATTATTTATCTATCTACCTATATTTATTTATCAACTATTACTTGATCATTATCTATGTGTATAATCTATATCCAACTGTGCTCTATTCATCATCTGCTGATCTATTCATCATACGTCATCTATCTATCTAGATTCTGTGTATGTTAGAAAATGTGACGTTTGTGTTTCTGAGTCAGATTTATTTCACTTAACATTCAAAACCGTCTTGACTTTCCGGCAACAGCTGTGTGATTGAAGTAGCAGCTGAAGCCTGGCTAATGCACAAAGCTTGAGCCTCAGGGTGGGGGGGGGGGACTAATGCTCTCCTTAACTAAGGAGAGGTAGTATGTGCAAGGAGGTGGTGTGAAATCCAGCCTTTCTCTTTGCCTAACTCCCTTCCTGTCGAATAATATTTGAGTTTTCTTAACACATGTGCCTGTGGTTGAGCATGAGAGACGACAGCATCTTGTGGGTCTTTAGCAGTTTGCCAGCTTCGGCCAGTCTGTTGGTGCCTCGGTTCTCAGAACTGGAATTTGAGACATTTCCTCAAAAACTGAGCTATTTGGGGAGGTCAGTAGAGACTTTACCCATGAGAACTGTTGAGTTCAGGGCTGACTCCCCTGCCTGTGTGTTGCATTTTCAGTGGGGGTCAAATGGGTTGGGTAAACTCTCTGTCAGTAGAACTAAAACACTGAAATGATGGGAAAAAAATTAGAACACTCACCCTGAAATGGATCAGACTTCTAGGCTCCTTCTAGCAAGATATATCTTCCTAGGCAGATAAAACAAACCTTTTCTGGCTCTTTCCCAGTCCCTTACAGGTTCTGAGAGTTCAGGCCGATGGCAATCTCCCTTCCCATTGGCTGTGGCTGGCTCAGGCCCCTCTCGCACAGAGCAATGATTGGTAGTCAATTAGCATATCACACCCCACCCCCGCCAAGCCAACAGTCCTCAAGGCTTGCTCTTACAGGTGCTGCCAATATGAGGCAGGGCTTCTCTCCAAGCACTTAATGCAGCTGAACAAGCTGCACCAAGTTACCTATTTAGAGAACTCCATCTACCCCAGATGCACGCTTTACCCCAGCGGCTATCTTGAGGCATTCTCAAGTTGATCTTTCTTTACACAAAGCCCAACTGTACTGAGCGGAAGGAGAGCTTCACGGGGCTGGCAAGATGTAGCCATGGGTGAGGGCCCTGAGTTCAATCCCTGGAGCCCACACGGTGGAAGAGGGCACAGACTCCCGGAGGCTGTCCTCTGTTCTGCCCCCAAGTGAACACCGAGGCACAAAGGGCCCCCTCCGAATAAACAAGTGTAAAAGGACACACATACATTATTACCCTTTATAATACTTCTGCTTTTCTAACCTTTTCTGAAGTGCTGTTGAAATGCAAGGTTCAGTTGGGTGGGTGTGTAGGTATACATGGTAGTCATTTGGAGAAACCTGCCTTCCCTCCCTAGAAGTTCACCAAATGTTGACATTAAGGATAAAAGAGAAAACATTCTGTAAACCATAAAGGTTCCAGATCCTCCCACCCCCCCAAATTAAAAGGGACTTTAGGGTGGGTAAGAAGACGGGGTGGATCTGGAAGGGGTTAGGGAGGAGGTGAATATGATCAAACTGCATTATTTGAAATTCTGAAAGTACTAATAAAAGGAGGAAAAGGACAGTAACATTACTCAGCTGAAATACATGAACATGTGAAATACTGAAACGTATTTCTTGGCCAGGAATGGGAACCCATGCCTATGGCCTCAGAACTTGGGAGGTTGTCGAGTCAGGGAGGTCTTGGATTTTGGCCAGCGTGCCTTTGCTTCATGGCAAGACCCTCTCTCAAAGTAATACTTGGGCCAGAAAGATAGCTCATTGGTAGTGCTTGCTGGCCAAGCATTGATGACCCAAGTTTGATCCCCAGAACTCATATAAAACTTGTGAGTGTGTTGGGTCATTGCAATCCAAGAGTAGGGGAAGCAGAGCCATGCGGGTCTCTGCGGAGGGCTGGTCTGTGAGCCCAGGTGAATTCCAAGCCAGTGAGACCCTGCCTCAAGACAAACAAATGGCAGCTGCGGTTGCCTGCACAAGAATGGCACAAGCTGAAGCCAGTCAAAAGCCAGCACGGTGGGCGGGGGACAGGGCTCCATAAGCCTTATTCCTATCGATAAGGCTCTCTCAGAAGCTCTTGGTGACTGACAGCTGCTGACGGAGAGAGTTGCTTTCCTTTGGGAAAAGGGAGCTGTTGGTAAGTTGTTCATACCCGAGTGTACGGCTCTGCACTTATGCACACCTATACACACATGGTCGGCACTAATTGGACTCGGAGATTATTATTCCTAATCATTAAAGGACCTGAAGTTCTGAAGGGGCTGTCATCAACCTCTCTGTCATCCCAATGTCCCAGGTGAAGTTCAGTGCCTCTAATCAGCGCACTGCACCCATGCTCAGAGGCCAGAAGATGTTGGGAGGTTTCTCTTACCACTCTCCACCATTGTGCTGAGACAGGATCTCTCTCCAATCCCCAAGTCCACTGTTTCTGCTAGGCTGGATGGCCAGCGGGCTCCTGGGGAAGGGGCCCCAGCCCACCGGAGCTTGTGGCTCTGACAGGCCTTGCCCTTCTCCCCCATCCCCTCTGCCTTGCTAAAAGACCATCAGAATAATTCCTAAAGCTATCCGTCAAAGTCTAGTCCATTATTTGGCTGCTTCCTCCTCCCGAGGCTGACTGCCAAGGTCCAGCTGTGGAAGTATTGATGTCCAGCAATCAATACTTTTAGGCTCACCTAATTAACATGTCCAGTTAAAATTAAACACCTTGTCCTAACATGGAGTTTCCCTGTCTGCCTTTGTAATCTGCCATTTGTGTATGGGCCACATCTGTCTCCTCTCTATCCAGTCCTTTGTCCCTCTGGGATTTATCCCTGTATCCTCTGCCTTGTTCCCCTTACCCTCTCCTTTGTCCCCTTTCCGTTGTTTGTCTTACTTATTCCCAGCTCTCTGTCCCTCTGGGTCAAATAAATGTCTGGTCTTGGCGCGTCCTGAGCCAATCCTTCTCCTTTCCCATGGTTCGTCTCCACTCCCTGGCTCTGTACACCATGCATGCCATGCCCAGATTTTTATCTGAGTGCCACAGATTTGAACTCACATTCTCTCATTTTCACACCACGTGCTATTACCCACCACTCCCTGGTGCCTGGTCCCTTTTCTA